GATGTCCCTCTCCAAAGACCAGTCCTTCCTTGCAACATGCCCAAAATATGTCAGACGAAGCTTCAGAATCCTTGACTCCAGGGAGCATTCTGGTTTCACCCTCTCCAGGACAAGCCTGTTTGTTCTCCTAGCAGTCCATGGTATATTCAACACTCTTCTCCAGCACCACAGTTCAAAGGCATCAATTCTCTTTCTATCAACCCTATTCATTGTCCAACTCTCTGATGCATAGCACATATTTGCGAAGACTATAGCCCTTATCAGGAGCACCTTAGTCACCAGTCTGATGCCGTTGCTCTTCAGTACTCTTGAGAGGTCCCTCACAGCTGACTTTCCCAGTACAATTTGTCTCTTGATTTCCTGGCTGCTGTTACAAAGAGTGTTGATTGTTGAGCCAAGTAAACTAAAACTGCTAACTATCTCAATCTCTTCACCATCCGTACTGATGCTGCCAGTTGTCCCAGTGGTGAGAATCTGTGTTTTCTTGATGTTGAACTTCAGTCCATATAGGAGGCTGCAGTCCTTGATCTTCTGCAGTAAGCGCTTCAGGTCCTCCTCAGTTTCAGCAAGCAGGGTTGTGTCATCTGCGTAACACAGGTTGCTGATGATTCTTCCACCAATCCTGATGCTACATTCCTCTTCATATAGCCCTGTGTCTCAGACAATCTCATCTGCATACAGATTGAAAAGGTATGGAGACAGAATACATCCCTGACGAACCACCTTCTTGATTTTAAACCACGTAGTGTCTCCTTGCTCTGTTCTGACAACTGCCTCTTGGCCCAGTTATAAGTTCCACATTAGCACAATCAAATGTTCTGGGATTCCCATTCTTCTCAGAGTCAGCCACAGCTTGTTGTGATCCACACAGTCAAAAGCCTTTGCATAGTCAATGAAGCACAGATAGACATTCTTCTGGTATTCTTTGCTTTCTGCCAAGATCCATCTAACATTAGCTATAATATCCCTAGTACCACGACCTCTTCTAAGTCCAGCCTGTACATCTGGCAGTTCTCTGTTGACATATTGTTCCAAACATTTTTGGATAATTTTCAGCAGAATCTTGCTTGCATGTGATATTAATGATATTGTTCGATAATTTCCACACTCTGTTGGGTCACCTTTGTTTGGAATGGGAACAAATATTGATCTTTTCCAGTCAGTGGGCCAGCTGGCTGTTCTTCAGATTTCTTGGCCAGCACGCACCCTGAAGCATTGCCAGAAAAGATTTTTGCAAGTCGGGGAGGAGAGAGGCGGAGTTTTGCTGATCTCCAGATTTTAGTGATATTGTTCAATAATTTCCACATTCTGTCAGATCACCTCTTTTTGGAATGGGACTAAATTGGACCTCTTCCAGTCAGTTGGCAAGGTAGTTGACCTCCAGATTTCTTGGCACAACGTGGTGAACATGCACAGGGCTGCATGTGTTTGTTGAAATATGCCAGTTGGTATTCCATCAATTCCTGAGGTCTTGTTTTTTTTGCCAGTTCCTTCAGAGCACTTTGAACTTCCTCCATCATCACCATTGCTTCTTGATCACATGTCATGAATTCTTCTTTGACAGACACTTCTTTTTGGTATGGTGACTGAATACTCCTTCCATCTTCTTTTACACTTCCTGGACCATTTAATATTCTACTGACAGCATCCTCAAGTATTGTAAGTTGAAGCTTGAATTTGTTCTTCAGTTCCTTCAGCTTAAGAAATGCTGAGCAAGTTCATAACTTTTGATTTTCTGACTCCAGCTCTTTGCCCATTTCATTTTTTAATATATTGCTTTGTCTTCTAGATCTGCTCTTTGAAATCCTCCTTAACTTTCTGAGTTCAGCTCCTTATCTCTTTCTTCCCTTTGTTTGGTTTCTTAGCATTCTAGTGTAATGGTCAGAATCTCTTCTGACTTTCTGACACCATCTCGGTCTTTTCTTCCTTCTTTATCTTTTTAATGACATTCTTCATGTATGATAATCTTGATATCATCCCACAGCTCTTTATTCATTAGTGTTCAAGGCCTCCAACCTGTTCGGGAGATAGTTTTAAAATTCATTTGGGATAGATTCAAGATCAAATTTTAGTTCTTGCGGATTTGTTTTAATTATCTTCATTTTGAACTTGTCTCTGAGCAGTTAATGATCTGTTGCACAATCAGCTGCTGGCCTAGTTTTCATAGTTGATTTTGAGCTTTTTAAACAAATCTTTCCACAGTGTAATAAATCTGATTGCTGTGCAGACTATCAGGTGAGGCTCATGTATATAGTCGTTATTTGTATGTGTTATAAAATATATTTGCAATGACTTAAATCATTGATTGTTCAAAATTCTATGATTTGATCTCTAGCCTCGTTTCTGTCACCAAGTCCATGTTTTCACACTACTGCTCTGTTTCTTGCTTCCAATCTTTACATTCCAGTCACCATTAGTACCAATGCATCTTGGTTGCACGATTTCCAACTGCAAAATTTGGTAGAAATCTATTTCCTCCTCTTTCTCTCTGGTTATGGGTGCATATATTTGAACGATTGTGGTATTATCAGGTCTTCCTTGAATGTGCTTGGATATTATCCTTTGCTCGCCACATTGTATTTCAAGAAAGATCTAGAAATGGCCTTTTAAACTATGACAATGACTGCTTTCCACACACAGTATTTTTCAATATAATGCCTTAAATGCCTGCAGTGATTCCATATTGTATACTTGAATAATGTCTTACTTCTCCATTTGTTGTTGTTGTATATGAAAAAAATATGGAATATGTCACAAATTTGCGTGGCATTCTTGCCCAGGGGCCATGCTAATCTTCTCTGCATTGTTCCAATTTTAGGACATGTTCTGCTGAAGCGAGCACTCCATTTATTTTATCATTTTAAACTATACAGCTAGTTGAGTTGCCATCTCAAAAGCACACAGTTCAAATCTGCCAGCTTCTCTGTGGGGAAAGGACATATAATTTCCTCCAGTGTAATTAACTCTGAAAACCCGCTATGAGTCGGTTCAACTCGATGGCCCAACAATAACCCATTTTCACAGTCCGTAGTTCAATTAAACTTACATAAAAAAGCACCACGAAAGAGCATAAGTCTGAAACTCATCAACTCAGATTTGCCAAATTAATTTTAACACCAAACTTAAAAGCTTTTTTTCTTTTGTTTTCTGAGACCTTTACATTTTTAAATATAGGGAAGGGATAGGGAACTTGGTTTTATCATCACTTTAATCTACTTAAAGTAATGGTTTATAATTTCCTATCATACTTAATAGAAATCCAAAATCCTAACATGATCCCTAAGTCTTTTAAGAACATATGATTTCTCCCCTCCTACCTCATTCTCTGGATTTTGCTGAAATCTTTTCCTCTGTTTTTAGAAGTTCATCACCTCTTTCATCCTATATACATGGTATTACTTTTACTTGAAAGGTGCCTCACTTTTAGTCCGAATTCATGTACACCCCACTGTCCTGCCTGCTCACATCACTTAAATTCTTGTCACCGGGCTTTGTTGTGAATTACTGCTCTAATACGAATGTCACATGAGTCATTTTACAAACAGAAATGTATTTTCTCCCAGTTAGTTAAAAATCCAAATGTTTGGTCTAAGGGGAGACTCAGCCTCTGCTGGCTCTGGAGGAGGATTTCCAGTTCCCCTTGAGCTTCTGTTCCGTGGGGATCTCCCTGTGGCCTGGCGTCCGTTTTCCCACACCCTCTGCCCCTTGCTCCTCTGGTTGCTCCATCTGCTCTGTTACATTTTCATTCTCTTTTCCCAGGTCTTTCTTCTGGTGTCCTGTCACTGCCAGGAGAAGCAGGTCCCTTACCCCTGAGCTCTAGCACTTCATGACAAGATGGCACACTGACATTTCCTCCTCTTTTGTTGTGATTTGAGTGAAAGTTTACAAAACAAATTAATTTTTCATTCAACCATCCATACACTTTTTATTCCATCATATCAATTTTATCACCTGCCATGTAATTACACTCTTCTCAGTACAACCCTGCAATGCCCTCGTATACCTCACCTGAGATTGATGGAAAGCACACACTGGGAAAGGAGTTGGAAGTCAGGTGGCTTGAATTCAACATCTGCACCTGGAAAGGAAGATGGGCGATCTCCTCCCAGTAGATTTACAGCCTCTGAAAACCGGCTGAAAGGTCAGCTGTAAGTGAGTCCTCTAGAGGGCGATGAGTGATTATCCCAATACTGTGTCATCAACATAACAGGGCGGCTGTTCCTAAATGATTTTATAGGTTCAAGAGTGTGTGTGTGTGAGAGAGAGAGCGAGAGAGAAGAGAGAGGAGGAGAGAAAACAGAATTCACTCTACAGCACCTTCTGAAATCCCCGTTATTCTGTGATTGCATCCTTCTATATCACATCTCTCTCTTGTGTTGAAGAATTCTACATACTACAATTCTTCTTTTTTTAAAACTCTTCTCCCTGGTGACTGAGTGCATCACGGGAAATGCTCCTAATGGAAAACTCAGTTCAAATTCATTCTCCACTGAGGGTCTGAGAAGCTCAGTTCTTCCTTCAGGTTTGACATTTTCCGAAATCCTATGCTGAATGCTCTGAATCAGAATCCCCTTCAACATGGTGGGCTGGGTTTCTGGTTTTTAGTATAAATGCTGTGTGTTTTTTACTTTTATCCATTCTAAACCAACAAAAATCCCCAACTCACTGCACTCAAGTAGTAACTGACTTTCGAGGCTGTAAATCCCGCGGGAGGAGATGCTCGGTCTTTTGTCCGGGAGCCGCTGGTTTATTTAATTTTAGTGAAATCTGAGTTTAGCCCTACCTAACCTCCCCCAGGGTCTGAGATGACAGGAGTTTTCTGAGCTTCTCTCCTCTATTCCCAGCAGGCAGCCCAGGGCTGAGCCGGTCAGACAGAGGCCTGGAATGCAGGAGCAGGAAGAGCAGGGCAGGGGCAGGGCAGGGGCAGGGCAGGACAGGAGGTGTTGGAGGGCTGCAGGCTTCATGGTCCTCACCTTGTCTCTCTGTCCCTGTCTCTGCAGCACATTTCCTGGTGCAGGGTAAGGCTGAGTGTCATTTCACCAATGGGACGGAGCGGGTGCAGTTTGTGGCGAGATACATCTACAACCGGGCGGAGGTCGTGCGATTTTACAGCGATGTGGGTGAGTTCAGGGCGGTGAAGGAGCTGGGGCGTTCAATCGCCAAGGACTGGAACAGCCGGAAGGACTTCATGGAGCAGACGAGAGCCGCGGTGGAGACATTCTGCAAACACAACTATGGAATCTTTGATAAATTTCTGGCGCTGCAGCGAGGTGAGCGCTGCTGTGGGTGCGGGAGGAGGGGACCCCCAGCTGTCCCGGGGTCACTGTGGGGGAACACAGGGGGACAAGGGGCTGCAGTGACGGGGCTGAGATGGGGA